TATAATAGTGTAGACAAGGTATGCTTGTGGCATTGTCATCGTGGACACATTAACAAGAAACGCATAGCCCAAATCCAGAAGGATGGAGTGTTGGAATCATTTGACCTAAAATCAGATGATATGTGTGAATCTTGTCTTTTAGGAAATATGAAAAAATTACCTTTCACGAGATCCAATGAAAGAGGTGAAGGTTTGTTGGACCTCATACATACTGTAACGCCCGCAGATCCGGGCTAGTCAATTTAGAGGCAATAGGGGTCGAAAACGACTTTTCGACAAAAGATTATTTATAATAAATAATCTTAACAAAGTTGTGGAATATGTCTCAAGGTTTCCATACATATAAAGAATGCCGAAATTCGAGCTATAACGAAGAAGTTATGGCTCGCCGAAGTTTTACGGCAAAACGGCACGGCACCGGGAGACGTAAATAGTGAATTTACGATAGAAGACTTTTTAGCCTTAGCAATCTAAACAAAAGTCGTAGAATATGTTAAACTAAGAATATCGATAAAAAGAACGCCCAAATCTGACTTCGTATGAAGAAGTTATGATTTTTCTAAGATTCGGCTTAGCAGTGCACGACCCGAAACTCGAATTTTAGTTCGAGCAGTTTGTGGCTTACGCGACCTAAATGAGAGTTGAAGGTATCATTAATAGGAACTCAACGGTAAAAAGACAGACGAAAACGGAGTCCGGATGAAGGAGTTATGAACTCTTCGCGGTCATTTAATAGTCTAAACGCCTCCTACTGTTAAATTTGAGATCGGTCGAGAATTAGCCGACGGAGTCCAAACGAAAGTTGTAGATCTTGATTTTACCTACGGGTGGATATAAAGAACGTCTAAAACGGAGCTCGTATGCGAAAGTTATGATTTTTCTAAGTTTGAAGGCTGATACGCGATAAGGGGTGACGTGGCACCACCAGAATTGGACACGTGGCACCACCAGAAGGCCACCACATGGACAAACTCGGCGAGTAGGTCCCCCCTACTCGGCGAGTCCATCAGATTTTTGCACTATAAATAGAGGTGCCGGGTCTAGCCTCTTCTTCACACCTCCCAAACCTTCTTTCTCCCTCTAAACTCTTTCTCTAAGCCTCCCTAACCCCCTAAAGCCTAGGGTAACTCCCTAGCACGAGGCGGAAGCCCCGGAGCGCCCGACGGCTCTGAGAAAAGAGCCTTTCGGCTCGAAAAACGCTGCTCCAGCGAAGCCCGGTTTTGCGAAAAACCCGTTGTAAGTGAGCTACGCCTACGCTAGTTTTAATATAGCTTCTAATTAATTATAGTAACATTATTAGGACCTGAAAATAATTATTTGGGCTATTATTATGAGTTATATTGAGTGTTATTTAACGCTTATATAATAATAATAATAGCTAGACTATTAATTAGTCACGGTTATCGTTAGACTAAACCCTAGTGGTATTGATACTAGGTTTTATCGAAGGAAATTGTTTTGAGAGTATCGAAGCGTTGTCCGAGTGCTGAGTCACCACCTTTCAAGTGAGTGCATAGACCCTTTCATGAACATGATTTTAATACAAGTATTGATTGAAGTATTAATTATATGTTTATGTGCGAGTTAATTGATGTTGCTTGAAATTCGTGTTAAAGAACATACCTGATTATATTTGATAATTTAGGATAAAGAGTAGACCTAAATTAAAAATGAGGAATATTGGGTAGTATATTCTTACGAGTACAAGTGAGTTAAACTCGGAGAATAGAAGTTAGTATATGTCACTTATCCGGGAGTATGGATTAGACATAGTCATTGTTCCTAGTCCAAGAATATGGATTAGGCATAATCATTCGTTATTAATCCGAGAGTATGGATTAGTTATTGTCCCTAGTCCGAGAGTATGGATTAGGCATAATCATTCATCATTAATCCGAGAGTATGGATTAGTCATTCGTCCCTAGTCCGAGAGTATGGATTTGGTAAATTCGTTCATTTCTGATCCGGGAGTATGGTGTAGGTAAAACGACTAATCTTAGGTCCGAGAGTATGGATAGCCTCGTTGCGAGGATCGACGGGGTGGGATAAGAGTTTTTTTATATATATGTATGGTGAAATTGTATATTTTGTGAATTTTAAACTATATATATGGTATAACATTGTGGGATTGAAATCCCTATGTACTCACCAGGTTTCCCAACCTGACCCACTCAGTTTATTTATATCACAGGTGTTCATATGAAGTCACATTACACTGAGAGATCAAAGAGATGTAGATCACTAGTGTAAATAAATGTAAGTTCTGTTTATGCTTTTGTTCCTGTATTGACGATGACATCCCAAACGTTTTAAAATGAATAAAATACGTTTCTTCGAAAATGTTTTAATAACGTATTTATCGTGTTTTTCTGGGAACGAATTCCGCAACATTTTTATTAAAAGAAGAACTCTGATTTTTATAAAGCATAAACAAAATCGGTCTTTTGTGGCCGTGATTTTGGGGATGTCACACATACTGATGTGTGTGGACCCCCCCCCTTCACATCAAGCACAAGGGATGCTAATTGATTCTATGTGACTTTCACTGATGATTATAGCGGATATGGTTATATCTACTTAATCAAGCATAATTCAGAAACCTTTGAAATGTTTAAAGAGTTTAAACATGAGGTCGAAAATAAATTGGGCAGGAAAATAAAGGTACTTAGATCCGATAGAGGCATAAAGTATCTTAGTATCGAGTTCAACGACTATCTAAATGAATGTGGAATAGTTTCATAATTAACTCCTTCGAGGACACCACAGTTAAATGGTGTGGCTGAGAGGCGTAAGCGGACCATGTTAGACATGGTTTGTTCTATGATGAGGCATGCTTCACTTCCTATTCATTTCTTCGGGTATGCCTTACAGATAGCCACTCACATCCCCAATCTTGTCCCTACAAAGAAGGTTGCCAAAACACCTCTTGAGATATGGATGGGGAAAGTTCCCTCGTTAGCACAATGGGAGTAACATTGAGCTTAAAGAAATTAAAGAGTTGGTCAATGAAGGAAACTTAGATGACATTAGCACTCAACCAGAAGAAACCGTTCCTATTGAACCAGTTGATAACTCATTACCTCTTCGAAGATCCAGTAGGCTGAGTGTGCCACCTAAGTTATATGGTTTTCATATTACTTCAGATAGTGATACATGTATCAGTGATAGGATACTGGTAAATTTAGATGAACCAGTTACTTACAAAGAAGCAATGGCAGTCCCAGAGGCTTCCAAGTGGAAACAGGCAATGGACATCAAGATAAAGTCCATGTATGATAACTAAGTTTGGAGTTTGGTTGATAATGTACCAGGTCATAAGACAGTTGGGTGCAAATGGATATTCAAAAAGAAGACAAACATGGATGGAAATGTGCACACATTCAAGGCTCGACTGGTTGCAAAAGGTTTCACTCAAACCACGGGGGTTGACTATGATGAGACCTTCTCGCTAGTAACCAAGATTAAATCTATTAGTATATTGCTAGCCATAGCTGCATTTCATGACTATGAAATCTAGTAGATGGATATCAAGACTTCTTTCCTTTACGGGAGGTTGGCTGAGGATGTTTACATGAATCAGTCAGAGGGTTTTGTTGATGAGAAGTTTCCCAATAGAGTGTTCAAGCTTGAGAAATCCATTTATGGATTGAAACAAGCATCTCGCAGCTGGAGTCTTTGCTTCCATGAGAAAGTCAAAGAGTTTGCTTTCTCTAGGAATGAAGATGAGTTCTACGTGTATATCAAGGCTAGTGGGAGTATAGTAACTTTTCTGGTGTTATGTATCGATGACATATTACTCATTGGTCAAGACATTCCAACCTTGAAAGATGTTAAGTATTGTCTTGGAAGTTGTTTTGCCATGAAAGACCTTGGAGAAGTTGCCTATATCCTTGGGATTAGAATATTGAGAGATAGAAAGAAGAGATTAATTAGACTTAGTCAGAGCACATACTTGGACAAGGTACTAAATAGGTTTAGTATGGAAAATTCCAAGAAAGGAGAGCTACCTATCCAGAGCAGTAGCACATTGAGTAAGCTCAATGTCCGAGTACAGATGAGGAAATAGCTAACATGAGTTATGTACCTTATGTTTCTGCTGTCGGATCGATCATATACGCTATGACATGTACTCGCCTTGATGTGGCTTTTGATTTGAGCATGGTAAGTCGTTATCAGGGAAATCCGGTTAGAGCTTATTGGATAGTGGTTAAGAATATACTCAAGTATTTATGAAGGATAAAGGACTGGGTCCTTGTACTTGGTGGCAATGATACTTTGAGAGTAGATGGTTACATCGATGCCAACTTTCAATGGGACAGAGATAACTTCCGATCTCAATCTGGCTGGGTATTTCTACTGAACGGAGGAGCAGTTACTTAGAAAAGTTCCAAGCAAGATACTATGGCTGATTCTACTTGTGAATCAGAATACATAGCAGCGAGTGAAGCATCTGAAGAAGCAGCTTGGTTGAGGAACTTCCTTGGAGGGGGTGGATGAAATTTATAGGGGAAACCCTAATGATTTTGTCCAAGGGCCTTGGATAAGGCTTCTGGATAATCTTAGGCTCTAAGAAAAGGAACATTAGGGTTTTCCCTTAAACCCTAGATGCCTTAGCTATATAAGAAGCCTCCTGGCTCCTAAATTTCGTCCATCCTTACACCTGGTGAAACCTTGGCCGAAAATTGCATAATCTCTCCTCCTCCTCCTCCTCCTCCTCTCTATCTATAGTTTACTTCTTACTAGTTCTTGGGTATGATTCCATTAGAGACATTAGATTTATGGTGCTAAGTTTCCAAGAAGATTAAGATCATGGATTACCGATTGTTTACTATAACATTTGAAAGGTATGTGATTCTTAAACTCTAATTAGTTATTTTTTTGAAAATAGTCTCCTTCTTAGGGTTCTTGTTTTGCAATTCAAAGTTACATGTTCAATAGTTAAAACATAGATCCAAATAGGTTGCATGTGAACTTCGAAATTATTTTCTAGTATATTTGTTTTATCTAACACCCATTAGAGAGTTCATTCCTTGAGCAAGATCTTCTCCCTTATCAGTGGCTAGTTCTTTTTTATCATCATCAATGTCTTCTTTTTGATCAGCCCTTTCTTTATTACCATCACCTTCTTCATTGTCATCCTCGTCATTCTCTTCTTCAGAGTAAGAGGATTCAACCAAATAGGGTTTGTAAATCCATTTTTGCATCCCCACAGTAACATGCAAATCATCTTTAGTATGAGCAATATTAATGATCTTTGAAGAGAGGGAAAGAATTGGAATGATAATCCTATGAATTTCAACATAGCCTTCCTTACGAGCGAAGATCAATCCTAGTCTTGTGTCTAAGACATTTTCCAATAACCTTAGTTAAATGCTTCCATCCTACACTAAAACACTCACGATGGGTGTATCTATAAGGATCACGAGTGGTGCCATGAATATTAAAATTATACCCTAATCTTTCATGAACAGACTTGCACCTTTCTTCCAAGGGAGTTTCATAATAATGTTCTAATTAAGGAAGATGAAGAGTAGTTCGAAAAGATTCCACATCCATAGTAACCCTATATTGACCATCTCTAATGGTTCCTGTAAGGTCAAACCTTGAAATATGATAATGTTTAAAACAGACTCAGCATCAGCGCATATCTCAGTATCAGCACTAGCGTGTCAGCAGTTCAGTTTGTAATGGTTTAATTTATTCAATGCATTGTAACAAATCTTGTATTTATCCTGTTTCCATAGTTAGCTTAATTAGTTAGCTAGCGTATCCCTGATTTGAAGGGATTGTCTAGAATCGCAGTATATAATCTTTTGTATAGGTTTGTGAATGAATACGCCTTTCACAAACCCTAATCGCTGCTTTGTGCACACGATAATCTCTTTGTGAGATTATCTTTCTTAGTGAAAGTTTTTCTTCGTGAATTCCTCTTGTTCTTGTTTTCTGTCATTGTTTGATATATTGATTGATCTAAAGGCCTCTTCAATTGGTATCAGAGCAGGCTTCTCTTATCAAACAAATGGCTTCATCTTCTTCTTCGTCGAACTCATCAAATCATCCTTTCGCTAAAATTCCTCCTTTTGATGAAACAAACTTTGCTATGTGGAAAATAAAGGCTCTATATGCCTTAGAGTCAGTAGATGAAGACATGTTGGACATCGTCGAAAATGGTCCATATGTCCCGATGTATCAGCCTCTAAAAAATAATGTTCCTGATGGTACTATGAAGAAAACTCCTAAAGAAAACTGGACGGCAGATGATAAAAGAAAACATGGTCTAGATGTTCGTGCTCGTGCCGCAATCAGCTACGCTCTGCCATACAACATTTTTGGGCTAGTTCAAAATTGCATCTCAGCAAAAGAGATGATGGATACTCTGACTGTATCCTTTGAAGGCACTGAAGTAGTCAAGGCTACTCAAATAAATGATCTTAATCGAAGGTATGAACATTTTTTTGCTAAGAAAGGTGAAACCTTGACTCAAACCTTTAACAGATTCAATACTCTTGTTAATGATCTTCGGAGATTAGATCAGTTGAAGCATAGAACTGTTCTAGTGCAGAAGTTTTTGGATTCTCTGGGTGCAGGTTGGGAGAACCATACTAATGTGCTGAAAAATAGTGAGAAGATCAACTCTATGGACTTACAAAGTCTGTATGGAAATCTTCGATACTATGAGGAATCCAAGCTTCAAAGAAAAGAGCTGATGAAAGACTCTCAGCGTGAATCATCTGTAGCCTTGTTCTCTAACAAAAGGCTAGTGTCAGATTCAGACACTGATAGCCATTCAGACATTGATTCCTCTAAAAGTGACACTGATGATCTCGAAAAGGTTGTGGCGAGTGCAGCTTTGATTGTAAAGACCTTTGAGAAATCTGGCCGAAACTTCTCAAAGTTTCAAAAGAAGATGGGTGGAAAGTTTTCAAAAAGATCAGAAGTTGATAAAAAGTATGGTACTGATAAGAAAGAGAAGGCTCAGTGCTTTAACTGTGGGAGCACTAATCATTTTGCAAAGGAGTGTAAACAAAAGAAACAAGGCTTGGATGAATACTGGAAGCAGAAGTACAACAAGCTGATTGAGAAGCTGAAAGCAGAGAACTTGGAACATAAAATTCTTGTTGCTGAAGAAGAAAAATGGAAGACTGATGAGGAGTCATCAGATGATGAAGTGAAGTGTCTAATGGTAAAGATAGAAGACACGGATGTTTCTAAAAAAGGCAAAAGTACATTTTATGCTGATATGTCTGATGCTGTTGAAAATTCCAGGAAGCACAACACTGACTCTTCTTCAATGTACCAGGTTAAAAAATTTGTTTCCTATTCAATGAATGAAAAAATCAAAATGTTTGAGTATTTGGGCGTCATTAATTCTAAGAAGAATCAAACAATAAGAGATTTGCAAAATCAAATTGATCTTCTTGAAACTGATATATCCATGAAAAATAACATTATTGAATCCACTCAGGAAAATCTTAGAATCACTAGTTTGTCAGATTCATCTTTGTCTGCTGAAATTGACAATGTTAAAAATCTTTTGATCAAAGCACAAACTGTGCTTCATACTTGGGCAAAATCTTATAAGAATGAAATTATATTATTTCTGCTCAAATTCCACATTCATGTGAAAAAATTCTTGGGGGTAATTTTGCAGAAGCTAAAAAAGTTTTTAAATCACAAGAAAAGGAATCTGAGTTTTATTCCATGAATGAGATGAAAAACAATTTCAAAAATAAGTTTGTCAGTAACTCTTTTATCAATCAGAGTTTAATTGATGAATACTGTATTACTAATTCTGATGGTATTACTGAGTGTAATGTTGAAATTACCGGAATTGATCCAACCTCTTACCCTGCACATCTTGTAAGACCAACTCCACTCACTGAGAATATTATTGCCTTTCCTATCTCAAATGGAGTGTTTCATGCTGTTCATGAACAACTTAAGCATTTTCCTGATTGCAATTCATCTATGAATAAGTCAAAATCAGACACTAATAGCTTATTATCTAACACTGATCAAATTCTTTCTGACACTGAATTCAGTTGTGACTCAATGATAAACAAAAGGACTCAAAGCTCTCTTGGTGAATCTTACATGTCGAAATGTGTTAAATCTAAAAATTTGCTCACCAAGAAGAACTTTGGTACTAGAGTTTGTTACAGATGTGGTGATACCTCTCACAAGATCAGTGAATGTTCATTTGATAAATCATCCTCAAGATCTGATAATATTAAAGTTAGAAATGAAAAATGGACTCTTAAGTCAAATTCTTTAAACTGTCTTCCTAAGGAGTGTTATAATTTATTATCAAATAACTTTGTGAATGACCCATCCTCGAATGGGTCAGTGTGTTCTAACTAGTTTCTCAGCACTGCAGGGTCAGGAGCATCTTTGGTACTTAGATAGTGGTTGCTCAAGGCATATGACAGGATCAAAGTCTCTCCTGGAAGACTATGTCAAGAAAACTGGTCCTGCAGTTACTTATGGAGACAATGGAAAGGGATTCACTAAGGGCTATGGAAATATCAAATGCAATAACGTAGTTTTTCAAAACGTTTCATATGTAAAGGGTCTCAAACACAACCTTATCTCCATCAGTCAATTGTGTGATGCTGACTATGAAGTTCACTTTACAAAGAAGGAAGGCAAAGTTGTAAATACTGACAAGAACATCGTACTTTCAGCAAGTAGAAAAGATGATATATATGTTCTTGACATGTTCTCGAGTGACAAGGCACTGATGCAATGCTTCTTTACAAAATCTCAGATGAATCTTAGTTGGATTTGGAACAAAAGGTTTTCTCATCTGAACTTCAAGAACCTATCCAAAATATCCAATCAAGATCTAGTTAGAGGGCTCCCAAAATTCAGCGTTGTGAAAGACAAGATGTGCTCAGCTTGTGAACAAGGAAAACAAACCAAGTCCTCTTTCAAACCCAAGTCATGTTCCAGTATATCAGTCCCTCTTCATTTACCCCACATGGACTTGTTTGGACCTATTCCTGTCTGTTCTCTAGGTGGAAATAAGTATACTTTAGTGGTTGTGGATGAGTTCACTCGATTTACATGGGTGGTTTTCCTGAAGAAGAAAAGTCATGCTGCACAAGAAATTATCTCACTGATTTGTAAAAATGAGACACTGACAGGTCTCAAAGTTAAGCAGCTAAGAAGTGATCATGGTACTGAGTTCCGACACTCAACTCTTGAAGAATTTTGTGATCGCAAAGGAATTGGGCAAAACTTCTCAGCTCCTTGTACTCCTCAACAAAATGGAGTTGCTGAACGAAGAAATAGAACACTGATTGAGGCAGGAAGGACCTTGATGATCCATGCTGGTCTTCCTATGTTGTTTTGGGCTGAAGCTGTCAATACAGCCTGCTTTACTCAGAATCGATCTCTAATTCACAGGATTCATAAGAAGAAACCATATGAAATGCTGAAAGATTGAAAGCCAAATGTATCCTTTTTTCATGTATTCGGATGTATTTGTTATATTCTAAATCAGCGTAACCCAAGATCCAAGTTTGAACCTAAGGCTGATAAAGGTGTTTTCGTTGGGTACTCATCCATTTCAAAAGCTTTTCGTGTTTTTCATGTGAACAGGCAATGCATTAAAGAATCCATTCATGTGAAGTTTGATGAGGAATCATACACTGATGAAAAGGTCACTCATTCTTCTTCTATTTTTCAAGAGCTTCTCTCTTGTCCATTTGACGAAGTCCCTCCTGCTGGAGATGAAGCTGGTTCTTCTGATTCTATTGTTCCGGTTCCATGTTCCTCGAATCAAGATACTGCAACCAGATCAGCAGATAATTCATTAGGTACTGATGAAATCCTTGAAGCTGAAGACTCTCCTGCAACTGATAACATGTCAGTGTCAAATTCTTCGGAATCAGCATCAGTCTCTGAACATCGATATCATCCTGTTGATCAATTTATAGGGAATATTCATGATGGTGTCCATACCAGATCTCGTGTATCTAATAATTTTTGCATGTATGTTAACTTCGTTTCAATGATCTTACCTGACAAGATACACACAGCTCTTCAAGATGCCGATTGGATCAAAGCCATGCAAGAAGAACTGAATGAGTTTGAAAGGCACAAAGTTTGGACTCTTGTCGCAAGACCATCCGGGAAAACTATCACTGGAACTCGCTGGGTCTATCTTAACAAGGTTGATAAAGATGGAATCATCACTCGCAATAAGGCAAGGCTTGTAGCTCAAGGGTTTACTCAAATTGAATCCATCGACTACGGGGAAACTTTTGCTCCAGTTGCTCGCATTGAAGCAATCAGACTGTTTCTCGCATACGCATCCTACATGAATTTCATTGTCTATCAGATGGATGTGAAAACAGCATTCCTCCATGGTGTGTTAGAAGAAGAAGTATTCCTCAATCAGCCACCAGGCTTTGTGGACAAAGATCATCCTGATCACGTGTACCGATTAGACAAAGCTGTTTATGGTCTGAAGCAAGCACCCAGGGATTGGTATGAGACGCTGACATCGTATCTACTTGAAAATGGATACAGACGAGGAGCACTCGACAAAACTCTCTTCATCAAAAACAAAGGCTCATATATGGTTCTTGTTCAAACTTATGTCGATGACATCATTTTTGGCTCTCCAAATGAGACACTGAGCAAGGAATTTGCAGAGATCATGTCTCAAATGTTCGAAATGAGCATGATGGGGAAGATGACCTTTTTCTTAGGTCTTGAAGTTCAGCAACAGAATTCAGGTATTTCCATCTACTAAAGTAAATATATTTCTGACTTGCTTGTTAAGTATTCTCTCAGTGACTGCAAACCAGCCTCTACTCCAGTGTCCAAGACTGATAAGATACACGCTAATCCAACTGGAACTGATGTCAATCACTCTCTGTATCGAGGAATGATTGGATCTCTCTTATATCTCATAGCAAGTCATCCTGATATCATGTTTGGAACCATTCTTTGTGCTCGATTCCAAGCTAATCCCAAAGAATCTCACCTCATGGCTGTCAAACGTATTTTTCGATACTTGAAAGGAACTCGAAACCTTGCACTGTGGTATCCTCGCGACTCAGCATTTAAACTTTATGGATACACTGATTCAGACTATGCAGGATGCAATTTAGACAAAAAGAGTACGTCTGGTGGATGTCACTTCCTTGGAAATCGTCTCATCAGCTAGTCTAGCAAGAAGCAAACATCAGTAGTCTAGCTGATGAGATGATTCAGACTATGCAGGATGCAATTTAGACAAAAAGAGTACGTCTGGTGGATGTCACTTCCTTGGAAATCGTCTCATCAGCTAGTCTAGTAAGAAGCAAACATCAGTAGCCATCTCAACTGCAGAAGTTGAGTATGTTGCAGCTGGGAGATGTTGTGCTCAGCTCTTATGGATTCAAAATCAGCAAGTTATCAAAGACTCCCATATATTGTGATAACACCAGCGCCATTCAGATCACACAAAACCCTGTTCAGCACTCAAAGACGAAGCATATCGAAATCAGACATCATTTCATCAGAGATAATGTTGAAAAGGGAAAGGTTGTTCTTGAACATGTCAAAACTTCGGAGCAACTTGCTGATATCTTCACTAAGGCACTGGATTCTCAAACAACTGCTTACATTATTGGAGAACTTGGAATGATTACCTTGTAATTAATTTTGCTGTTTAATTGTGCTACTGTTTGGTATTGTCTTATAAGCTGATGTACATTGTGCTGATGATGACATACTGGTGATATTTGCATACTGAGTACTTTGGTTTGATCTCTTATCCTTCTCTCTTCTTCAAGACTTCTAAACTAAAGTTGAATGATTCACTGTATTAAACCATACACTGATAACAACTTGAAACTCTTTGCCGATGATTAAATCAAAACACCAAGATCTATCACTCGCAACTATCCCTTCTTACCAATCTTACTCTGATTCAATGATTCAGTGTGACAAAACACACGCTGATGAGAATCCGAAAATCTTTGCCGATGGTTAGATCAAAACACCAAGATCTATCACACGCAACTATCCCTTCTTACCAATCTTACACTGATTCTGTGATTCATTGTGCCAAAACACCAGCTGATGAGAGTCTAAAATCTTTGCTGATGGTTAGACCAAAACACCAAGGTTTATCACACGCAACAAACTTTCTCTACCTTCTTCTTATTCAGTGTCTAATGATTCAGTAAGATAAACCACTCACTGATAAAGTCACAACACTCTGTGCCGATGGTTAGATAATGTAACTAGTATCTATCACATGCACCAATCTCCTTGCTAGCCCCGATTAAGCAAGTTGTACCTTGAATTGACGGAGAAATACTTTCAGCATGTAACTTTTGTGACACTGATCTCAGCGCTTCCGCAAACACTGATTGACGTTTCACCTTCAGTCAACGACTCTTTTATCCAACGGCTATTTTCTGATCTGACAGGTTGTTACGATACTCCGTTCTTTTTAATGAACATAATCATTACCTTTTTAAAACCCCCTTTTCATTCCATATTAAACCTCTCTCACCCTTGATTTAAACTTTCTTTCCACGATTTTAAACTTCCCTCAAAACCCTAGAACTCTAAAAACTCTCTAATGGCGGCATCTCTATTCACTTACTCCTCCACCTCTCGAAGGGTAGTTCTTGCCCCAAACTCTCCTCCTCTTCCAATTCACATCAAGGCTACAAATGTTGTTTTCAACCCTGATATTCAAGAGGTTCATCGAGGTCTTGGACTCGATGATTTTGTCAATTTCTTAGCTTCCTGCCGCCTATGATATGCAATCAGTGATGTTCCATCCGAGTTCTTCCCTGAACAAGTATGTGAGTTCTACTACACTGCAACTGTCAATGACGACAACAATGCCATCACCGGGACCATTAGCCATGGAAGACACTCTGTCTTCATCAACGCAGAACTTCTCAGTGCTTCCCTAAGTTTACCTATCTTTGAACCTTTCTCTGAAACTCCCACTATTGAACGGTGTCGACGTATGTTTGATCAACAGGTTTATGATCACTCAAAGGCTGGTACTCGATCAGCTCTTATCTTGCGCCAATGTAAGACCCCAGGTTGGAAATTTTTCACCGGTGCTCTATGCAAGTGTGTGGGTCATAAGTCTCGAAGTGGTGATCAGTTGAGTAATTATGAGCAACAAGTCGTCTGCTCACTTCTTCTCAACAAAAGACTGGATTATGGAGCTCTATTCTTTGATCAGCTTGTTCAGCTTCTTCGTGCAAATGTATGCGCTGATCATGTTCCGTTTCCATGCTGGATTGCTCTTGTGTTCGACAAATTCTTTGCTGCAGACTACTTCTCGCATTCTGGAAATCCCATCTAATTCCCTCGCATGTCTGTTCGCATGTATCAAGATGATCCTCTGGATACTGACATTGGAATCTCTGATAGGATGAGAGAATGGATTGCAAATCCATACCCTGTTCCTTCTCTCACCGCTGACACTGATGAAGGAGGTGCTGATGGTAATCATGTAGATCAAGTCGGTCAAGAGGATGAACCATATGATGGTGGTCATTTCTCTCCTCAACTTTCTCATCATATCGACTTAGTTGCTAATGTTCCCTCAGCTCAAAAGGATTCACTGAGTCAGGGGGAGCAACAATTTCAGGAGGAGCAACTATCCCAGGGGGAGCATTCCTCTCCGGGGGAGAATCCACCTCATGGGGACCAATATTCTCTGGTAATGCCTCCTAGCTCTCCAGCAGCTCCAGCTACTTCAGTTGTTCAGATTCCGCCCTCAGCATTTACTGAACTTCTGACACTGACTCGGGACATGAATCAGCGTCTTCTACGCATTGAGGCTGATGTTCACCAGCTAAAGGAAGTTCTCCGGCAAACTCCCCCCTCTAGTCCCCGATCTGATGATGCTCAAAAAAGGGGAGATACTGATGATGATGCTGATGTTGATGATAATGCTGACCGTGAACCGAATGAGAGAGACACCGAACCTATTAACAACACTCTTGTTCAGCCTGAATCATCAACGCTAATGCATGAGTCTGACTCTGCGGGGCACAATAGTCCAGCAGCTACTGAAAAGCTGATTGAAGATAGTGAGCATGATGAAGAGCATGATGAACCAGATGATGAATGTCAAATACTGGATATGAACTTCATTAATCCGCTATCAGTCGATCCTGGTGCTGATCCCATCATTTCGGTCCAAGGAGAGGATTCAGACGTTGCCAGTGAAGAATCTCATCCGCTATCTCAAAAGCGTAAGGTAGTAGACACTGACTTGGCTCATTCTCCAACTGATACTTCTCTGCCTGGGAAGAAACCCAAGTCCATAGTCAGTATTTCAAATCTTGCCTCTGAATAGAACATGTCTCCTGATCAAGTTAAGCAAATTCTTGATGAAGCCAATCGAGCTCAGCTTCTAAAGAACATTGCTCAAGCTGATGAATCTCTTATTCAGCACAAACTTCAGGCCAAGGGATCTTTTGAAGCTCAGATGCAGAAATTCCTGGAATTTCAGTCCAAGGCTCAGTCTTCTCAACCTCTTCCTGGCCATAGTAAGCCTAAGACTGACAGTGTTCTTGACCGGATTGATCGGAAGAGGTTTGAAGACGTTCTTAATCGGCAAATGTGTGGTGATAAGATCATCAAAGTCAAAGCTTCCAAACCACGAAATGAGAAAATCCTTACGTTGTTGATCACTCGTCAAGGTCCTCAGCATTCATACACTGAAGTTGTCAAGAGGGATGAGCTGATCAGGTATGGATATTCTGAATGGATGGAACTACTTGAACTAGCATCCAAGCAAACCTCAGCTCACTCTTCGGAACTGACTTGTGCTCTTCATCTGCTGATCAAGAAAGTTCAGCGTTTGGATCTTGTTCCTAAATAACGACCTCATCATCAATGCCAAAGGTTGTCTGTTCCTAGAACTCGAAGAACCAAGTTTCAAGTTGATGGTGAAGATATATTGGTTCTGGACTTTGGTGCTGGTGAAATTAACAATTCTCTTCCTATCAGTGTTGATCCGGTTCAGCATAAGTTTATCTCAGCTCCTGAACACGGGATGTTCTATCTTGATAAAAACAGGAGGATGTGTTTTCAGCGAACTGCTGAGATCCCAAAGGCTCCAACCACTCATCTTGTTGGCTTAAGGCAAATGTGCATGAGTCATCAAGATCTATCCGGAGAGTTTCACATTCTTATTGCCATGGAGCTGCTGAACAGAAGATAGGAGTTGCTGGATGGTCCTTACTGGCTAGTCAAAATTGAAGCTGAAGCTGAGTATGAAGAGTTCCTTTCCAGAGGTGTTTTAATTTAGTTTGTTTTGAACATCATCATATTGGGGGAGATTGTAAGGTCAAACCTTGAAATATGATAATGTTTAAAACAGACTCAGCATCAACGCATATCTCAGTATCAGCACCAGTGTGTCAGCAGTTCAGTTTGTAATGGTTTAATTTATTCAGTGCATTGTAACAAATCTTGTATTTATCCTGTTTCAATAGTTAGCTTAATTAGTTAGCTAGCGTATCCCTGATTTGTAGGGATTGTCTAGAATCGCAGTATATAATCTTTTGTATAGGTTTGTGAATGTATACGCCTTTCACAAACCCTAATCGCTGCTTTGTGCACACGATAATCTCTTTGTGAGGTTATCTTTCTTAGTGAAAGTTTTTCTTTGTGAATTCCTCTTGTTCTTGTTTTCTGTCATTATTTGATATATTGATTGATCTAAAGGCCTCTTCAGTTCCATTAATGGTTTGAGAGTTAGTATCAATAGAACATAAATAGTAGAACTCACATACTTGTTTAGGGTATAACGGAGTTGGGAAGTCGCAGAATACATATCGAAAAGGACATCTCTTGACATAGTTGACAAATTGTTCGATTCCTGAGTTTGCGAACTACTTTGAGATTTCATCAGAGAACGCCACATTGCTCTCTTTAATGATGATGGAAAGTGAGGGTCATGAGGACCTTTGACAACATTACCACTAGGGACAAAATCATACAGAGGCTTTGACATAGTGAAAGCTTGAGAAAGATGGTTGAGAGAGCCTTTTGAGAGAGAGAGAGAGAGAGAGAGAGCCAATTATTTGAATAGATAGTAAAAGTGACCTAGGACGGAGTACTACCAATTTATACCAAAAAGTTTCTTCATTTTACTTAATCATGACTGAAGAGATCTTCGCCGTAAAAGTATCGTATCCCAAAATAATGATAGACCTTTTAATCGTCATCCAAAAAGCTACCGTCAAGATAAGGACATTACATCAATGAGACATGTAATCAGCGGAAATGGACATCAACATAAGCGATTAGCAAGTGACTTGTGATGGTCACCCAGTGAGTTTGTCATGTCTCCTGATAGTGTGGGCTTAAACTACCATTCAATGACATAATATTGCGAGATCTCATTAGCGTGTGATTTCATACGTTGACTCATTATTCACTTTTATTAGAAAAAAAGGGAAAGGGTGGTATGATGTGTGTAATACATTCCGGTATGAAATATACCCATCGGCAAAGAATGTCGAAGTTTTATCATTGTATGGATAATACTGTGAATCATTAACTTTTTAGATAGAAGAATTGTTCGGAAAGAGTGGGTTGGTGCATGTAATATATCACAAACAATGATATACCTATCGGCATAGATTTTTTGAATTTTCATCAGTGTCTTGTCTCATATGCTGAATCATAAAATTCTAAAGAAGAATTTAGGGAGAGAATAGATTGCTTCAGTCATGCTGAGTTGGAATCAGCATGAATCATCGACTGCAATAACCCATCAGCAAGAGATGGTTCAATCCTTGTATTATAGAGTTAGTTATAGTCTAGAATCAAAGAATCACCATCAATTCATTATGGTACCATTTCATACCTCAAACTAGGAGGTCATGAACATGAATAACCCTTTGTGTTTTAAGGACCAAACAAGTAGCTCTTATGTTGATGACTATGCAATCAGGGTAAGCCATTGGGTTATGCTCAATGTTTCAGCAGAACATGACACATGATGCATATGGCATGCATGCTTCCAAGGATGGAGTCATGTAAGAGATGATTAACCAAGAAAATAAACCCCCAAGACTTATAATCATTTTTTATTGGGACTAGGTGTAACGTCCCAAAAATAAGACCAAAAATTTTCATTTGTAAATTAATAAAAATGTAATCCAAAACATCATCATGAAACCAAGATGGAACCAAGTGTATCAATACATCATTAAATATTAGAGTAAATCACAAAATGCAAAATAAGGTGGTTTGTGCTTTGCAATCATCATGGGCTCTTACCTTTTGAACCAGAAGTACCTAAAACATAAACTGAAAACCGTAAGCATAAAACTTAGTGAGTTACCTAAAATACCACATACCATACAAAATAATCACATATTGGGCCCCGCCCTTCATCGGTCCTCACCCGACATCGATCCCCGCTCGGTATACAGATCTTTCAGTCATCAGGCCCCGCTTGGATTTGGGCCCCGCCCGGTATACATATAAACATATAAACATGTAATAGTCATGCAAACATCTAAAATGGGTTTTGAGCCTTACCTAGTCCCAGAAGTACCTAAAACATCCCAAAAATCATTTTTTATTGGGACTAGGGCCCCGCCCGGTATACATATAAACATATAAACATATAAACATATAAAAGTATGATGATCCAATTTATGGGTTTTGAGCATAACAAACAAAAACTTATGTGTGCATGCAACCCTATTTCTTGGATCTATGCTTTCTCTAATTGAACATACAAATATTGAACATCAAATGAAAAACCCTAGGAGATCTATATTATTTTTGAAAATCATAACAAGGGTTAGTAAACATACCTTTGATTGTTATGTAGTTATAATAATGAAAATCCAAGTCTTCTTGAACCTCGAGAGGAAACGTCACAAGTGTCACGCCTCTAGTAGATCACACCCAAACTTAGCAAGAGGATGAGAGACGAGAGAGGAGGAGGGAGCTTGAAATTTTTGGCTGCTCTTCTAGGGTTTTAGGTGGCTGAAAATGTGAAGGGGGTGAGGCTCTTTATACATGTGAGGTAGCTTAGAGCCAAAGTTAGAGTTTTAGGAGGAAACCCTAGTTCCTTAGCTTAAGGACCAACCAGCCTAAGAATTCCTATCTAAGCGCTCTTGGATGAAAAATTCTAGGGCCTTCCTAGAAGTTTTCGTCCAACCCTTTTCTAGGGAGGTTCTAGAGCCTTTTTCCTCAACTATCAATAAATTGCTAAACAACCCCTGCACTTTTAATTAATTCAATTAACTCCAATTAATTTCTAATTAATTTTTAGTTAAATAATATGATTTCTAATTAGTATATTATTCCCATAATACATTAATA